GCAAGCACAGGGGTGGGGAGGGCAGAGGGGGAGAGAGAGAGAGAGAGTAACTTAAGCAGACTCCATGTTGCTCGTGGAGCCTGATGTGGGGCCTGATCCCATGACCCTGAGACCATGACCTGAGCCAAAACCAAGAGTCTGCCCCTTAACAGACTGCGCTGCCCAGGCGCCCCTGAGCCGCAGTTTTCTTGGTGTCTCTGTCAAATAAATAAAATCTTAAAAAAAAAAAAAAAAAGCCGCAGTTTTCGAAAGCTTGGCTACCTGATTGAAAACTGAGAATACAGGAAACACACACACACGCAAATCAATATTCTGGAAACTAGCCCCAGGAGGAAATACAGTTAGTGCCAAATGCCAGTAGAAGTGTGATGGTTTGGAGTGTAGTTGAAGTGATTTGGAAAAAACTCATGAGAGAGATGAGACTTGAACTGAGCTTTAAAGAAGGGATGGGATTTGCCACAAGTTGAGCATGTGCATCTGTTATGCTTGTGTTTGTAAAGGTAGTGCCTATCATTTGGGTGGGGTGGGGGTGGTACGTGCATGAGGCTGGGGTATGTGTGAGGTGTTTGGGAGCGAGTCTGTGAGGTGGGTGTTGTGTGCGACTACTGGAAGGAGTTGGGAGTTCATTCAGTTGCAGAATTGCGTCAGAAAGAGTGCCTTGCTAATTAGGAGGATTTTTCTGGTAACAGTAAGCTGGGTGGATTTAGAAAGGGAAGGCGCTTAGAAGGCTATTAGAGTACTGACCTGAACTGAGAAGGGTTGATGGCAGTGGGAAATGGGAAGAAAGGAGCTGATTGGACAGAAACCACCAGAGAGACTCTGGTGGGGGGAAAGGCAAAATTCAAGAGGATTCTGCATTTCTGTGCTGGGTGCAGAGGTCCTCATGGTGTCTTTAATGGATACAAGAGAAGTCAGGATTAAGAGTTTGCTGTGAGAGGAAGAGAAGAGGTTTAATGTAGGATGTGATAAGGTATTGGAGCCCTGAAATGAGGTCAGAGAGGGTTCACTGTACCATCAATCTTAAGAATCTTGCTCAAGGCCAGTTGTTTTTTCTGTTGACTGTTGTGAGGAAGGACAGTGTTGTAGAAAGATGTGGAGGAGAAAAAAGGGGAATAACTGTGTGGGATTTTTGGCTTAAGAGTTAGGTAGTGCTTTTTATATGTCAATATTACAGTTCAGAATTACCATGTGATGGTGTAACAGAACCTGAAAATTCAGCATGCTTGGAATAACCTAATTTTAACTTTCATCTCTGTTCCCCTAAGATGCTTTCTGAGCATTTATAAATTTCCATATATTTATGTTAATATTTATATCAACAATTTATATTAATGAGTTAATATTTATATTACTGAATACAGACTCATATTTAATAAAGCTAATACGAAACCTTAAGGACTGCTATTAGTCCTTTGTTTGGATGACTTAACCATTTGAAACTAATTGGCAAATGGGCTTCTCTGTTTCTTTCTTTCCTTTTTTTTTTTTTTTTTGAAGATTTATTTATTTGAGTGAGAGAGCATGCACAGCAGGAGGAGGGGGAGAGGGAGAAGCAGACTCCCCACTGAGCAGGGAAGCCTGACCTGGGCCTCTCTCCCAGGACCCTGAGATCACATCCTGAGCCATTGGCAGATGCAACCAACTGAGCCACCCAGGCACCCTGCTTCTCTCTTTCTTAAGGAGTTTATACATGATGAGGATTATTTCACGTCTCCAGTTTTTTTTTTTTCATAGGGTTTTAGTAGGTGGTTGGGAGAAGTTGTAGAGTAGCTACAATTTTGAGGAATTGCCTTTAATAGAGATCTATTTCTTCTACAGTGTTTAGTAATGCTTCACAAAATGACCATGGTCTAATTAATTATTAAGCATGACAATATAAAAAATGTTCAGTTGCTAGCCTCTGTTTTCCCCTGATCATTAATCCATATACCATAATACTTGGGCTTTTATTATTATTTCAACTGGGAAGTATATAATCAAAAGCATTGATCAGTTTAGGACTGCTTGATATACTTGGAGACATTATTCAGTCTGTCTACAGGTAGAGCTTGATGCACAAATGGATTCATGGATTCTTTGGTCCACAGGAAGGGAATTGCTGGTATTGCATTCGAACCAAGGAATATTTCTTTGAAGAGTAGAAGTTGTGTCTGGTTCTCCTTAAAGAGGGTCCAGATTGTGCAGATTTTATTTTTGCTTTTATATTGCACCAATTAATTGAAGTATGATTCATTGGATAGAATTTAGAAGTCTGTTACATGTAAAATTAGACTTGTAAATTAAATTTACTTGGGTATATGACTATATGTTAACTTAAGAGATATTTAGTAACAGTTTTATTTCAGTGTATAATAGTAATTCTCAGAGCTGGTTGCTATTAAACATAATTTTATGTTTTTGGGGGGATTTTTGACATCTGGAAGAAAATGTGTACTTAGTGTTAATTTCATCTCAGTAATGCAAAAGCATATAGTTGAGCCAAAGTTATCTTCACTCTTCCATTCCATTTACTGATTACAGCAGGTACAAATGGCTCTCTCAGATAATCCTCTCCAATGAGTTTTAGTTTTCAGTTACTAAAAAACGGTATTTCTACAAAGTCTTAATTTCCCATAGAGTTGATACTGTATACATCATTGTTAAATATAATGCACTTGCCTTAAAACTTTGGAGCATGGTTTTGGTATTTCTTAGTTACCTGGATTTTTTTTTTTTTTTCATTTTTTTTTTTTTAGATTTATTTATTTATTTGAGAGAGAGAATGAGAGAGAGAGAAAGCACATGAGGGGGGGGAGGGTCAGAGGGAGAAGCAGACTCCCCGCTGAGCAGGGAGCCGATGCGGGACTCCAGGATCATGACCTGAGCTGAAGGCAGTCGCCCAACCAGCTGAGCCACCCAGGCGCCCAGTTACCTGGATTTTTAAAGAGGGAGGCTATTTACCAGGCATATACGACAATGATTCTATTTTTTTTATAGTAGTTTTTTTTTTTTTGGTCAGACGTGGACATTTAAACATGTTGTGCTGGCACATTAGTTCCATGAAGATTAGCTAAGATAATGTAAGGTCACAAGCTGTTTAGTTGAGCCTGTAAACATATCAAAGTAAGACTTACTGAAGCAAGCATGAAGTTTTGAATGTGAATATTTTAAGTGAAATACTGAAATTACTTATAGTAGCCCTGGATATATATTCATTATGTCATTTGTTTTTGTCATAAGTTTCTACTTGATCATGTTTTTTTCCAATAGCACAAGCAAGTTATTTATATTTCATTCCTGAGAAACTAAAGGAAGAAACTGCCTAATGAATATGAAAATTGCCATTAAATTAGATTGTCCATTTTGTGGATGCTTATATGATTATAGTTCCTTGCTCTTCAACACACTTTTGGACTGGTGTTAGAGTGTGTGTAATCCATATGTACAAACTAAATTTCAAAATCTAAGCAATATAAATATAAATAACCTGGATTAGGGAAAAAATACAGTTGCTGAAGGAGAAAAAGACTTGAGGCTAAATACAAGCCGTATTTATTTTTTGCTTTTTCTACTTACTTGGTTTACAACATCTTTTTCTCTTCAGTAATAACAAGTAATATGGGTAGGAACTGACTTAACACTACTAACTTAATATTAATACCATTAGTGAATATACACACGTTTAAGACTTCAGAGAAAAATGTCTTTCCCATGTCATGACCAGCCCAATCAGCTAATTTTATTGTTAAATAAATTTAATTTATTAAATTAAAGTGCTAAATACAGTAGTCCATTATTAAAAGAAACGAGTAGGATTAAAATAAAGGCTTTTTAAAAAAAATAAATACTTCTGGATAAAGTAGCAGCCTTCAAGTGAAACTCAGTTTTGGTTTCCTTTACAGGACTAGCTATTCACAATCAGAACCACTTAGCACGCTTTGCCCGTAGAGTCTGCTGAGGAAGTCAGAATCTGAGCCAGGGTGAAGACCGAATCTTGTCTTTGGTCTGATTTATAAACCATACTTTTATTCTGACCATGTGCAAGGTGGAGGTTATAGCATGGAAACTAAAACCTTAGTAAGTGTGATTTTTATTTTGGCTAATAAATTGTAGCCTTTCTTGTCGTGAATTTGTCCTCTTAATGGAGTTCCCAGTATAAATGGAGTGAGGACTTGGCAAACAGAGACACAGTAATACACATACAAAGCCAAAGATTGAGCTTTTCAGGTCAGGAAAAATCTCTGAGAAAGGGAGGCAAAAGCTTCTCTTGCTCTGCCTAGGATTTTTCACTTTTCTGGTTAAAAATAGGTGGCAGGATGATATTTAGTTGAGAAGGGATATAAGAAAATGGCTTTTAGTGGCCGCCATTAAAAAAAGTAATTATTAAATTTGCTGTGGAAGTTACTTCATAAATTAGTTGGCATTAAATCATGAAGTCTTCATTTTAGTGTAGTGTTAGTAATAAGCCCAGGGAAGAATCCTAGGAACCTTTTTAAATACTGACTATGTGTTTAGTATGAATTGAATTTTGAGTGTGTTTTAAATATTGAATATTTTTCATATAAGTTTGAATATTCAAAATTATATTGGCATGAACATGCTAGTAGTTATCTTAGGGACGTTCCGGCGATTTTATTGTGCCAATAGGTGATGTACAGTTATTTTTTTTGTGCTCCATACAGAACTAGATTTTGACGGTGTAGGCTATCAAGGAACTTAATCTATATTTCAGTGTTATTTTCTGATTGTAAGGATTACTCTTCAACATTTTTCTTTTCTCCTGTGCTTCTTAAGAGCAGTGGATAAGTAGCACCTTTAAGCTGCTTTTTCTTCCTTAGCAAAAATGATAGAATTGACTTTGTTTGATCTGAATTCTTCAGTGAATCAAACAGAACGATACTGTACCTAGAGAGCATAAGAATCTAAGTTGTTCATAATTTGAGAATGGTTATGTGTTTATTTGGTTTGTGTTCTTTCCCTTCTCTTTGAATCTTAACTGTTGGTTACTTTTCTAAATTGATGGTGATGACCTGGCTTAAATTAAACATTTCTGTTAGCGGCTTCTCTATTTTAACTTGCTTCTCTCTTAGAACAAATGTCCCTTTATCTCCTGCTTATCTCTTTTGCATTCTAAAGTACAATTTCATTAAATCCCTGAGGTCTAAGATTTTTTCTTTGGGAGCTTATGTCTGGTGTCTCTAATGGAAAGTGGAAAAATAAGGATAGTTCATTGCTAAATCTTACACGCTTCTTTTGAGAGATTTATATTTTACAAGTTGAAGGGTACTTTTGGGGCACAGAGATGGAATTATGTAGTTACTGTTTTAATAACCATGTCCTAATTATTTATAGCTTCCTGCCTGACATAACTCACTTCAAGAAGAGCACAATGTCAGAACGTGGAATTAAGTGGGCTTGTGAATATTGCACGTATGAAAACTGGCCATCTGCGATCAAGTGCACTATGTGTCGCGCCCAAAGACCAAGTGGAACAATTATTACAGAAGATCCATTTAAAAGTGGTTCAAGTGATGTTGGTAGAGATTGGGATCCTTCTAGCACTGAAGGAGGAAGTAGTCCTTTGATATGTCCAGACTCTAGTGCAAGACCCAGGGTTAAGTCTTCGTACAGCATGGAAAACGCAAATAAATGGTCATGCCACATGTGTACCTATTTGAACTGGCCAAGGGCAATCAGATGTACCCAGTGCTTATCCCAGCGTAGGACCAGGAGTCCCACAGAATCTCCTCAATCCTCAGGATCTGGTTCAAGACCAGTTGCTTTTTCTCTTGATCCTTGCGAGGAATACAATGATAGAAATAAACCGAACACAAGGACCCAGCATTGGACTTGTTCTATTTGCACATATGAAAACTGGGCCAAGGCTAAAAAATGTGTTGTTTGCGATCATCCCAGGCCTAATAATATTGAAGCAATAGAGTTGGCAGAGACTGAAGAGGCTTCTTCAATAATAAATGAGCAAGACCGAGCTCGGTGGAGGGGAAGCTGCAGCAGTGGGAATAGCCAAAGAAGATCGCCTCCCACTATGAAACGGGACTCTGAAATGAAAATGGATTTTCAGAGGATTGAATTGGCTGGTGCTGTTGGCAGCAAGGAGGAACTTGAAGTGGACTTTAAAAAACTAAAACAAATTAAAAACAGGATGAAAAAGACTGATTGGCTATTCCTCAATGCTTGTGTGGGTAAGTTTCTGCATTTTTTGAATGGGATGGGAAAAGGTATTAAAAATGACATGAAAGATCTAAGCAGGGTCAATATTATTTAGCGTTTCGGTCATTCAGCATGATAGCTGTACTCCCACTATGCATGCATGAGAATCTCTGTATTTGTGATCTTGTTATAACTTTGTTCTAAATTGCCTCCATTTCATTGTGTGTCTTTCCATCATTAGGGAGAAAAACTTTTTAAGTTAAAGCAAAGTTTTTTACACATCAGTAGGAGAAAAATATACCTGGAGTTTAAAGCTGCTCCTCTATTTATTGTAACAGGATGTGACTGAGGAACACCAGCTGCTGCTTCAGAGTGTTTGTAAACAGTGTGAGCATCTTGTGATGATAGAAGCTTTAGTCAGATGTTAAAAATATCACAAAAATGTGACTCCAAGAAGTTGAACGAACTTAATACTGACCTTGAAAATACTGATGTTAATTTAACGTGAATGTCATATAGTTAATATTCGCACATTTTATGAAACTGATTTCACGTAGCCAGCTGAATTCCACATTTCAAATTATGATTTGTATATTTTGTGGTATTAGTGCTTCCTAAAGAAATTTTGGATATTGGTCCCAGTTACTGATTCAGACCTGTCAAAGGACCAGGACATGTTGTGAGAGCAGGGTTTTCTCTAGTTAGACCTTGTGAGGTTAATATTTGTGATGTAATTCACAAAAGGAGTTATTGGACTCCCTGTGCTTTTTTGTTTTTTTTGAGTAGGTTAGCTTTTTGAATTTTATGATTTAAATTATTTGGATGGGGTGCTTACCTTGACATTTTGTTTTGTAAAGAAAATTTTTTTAAAGGATAATTTGGAGTGACTACTCAAGTTAAATATTGTGTGGAACAATAGCTAAGCCTTAAATATAGCTTAGCTGTATGTGTATGTTTTTTTTTCCCAGTATGAATTTCTTTTGTTTATCCTCCTGAATATAGCTCCAAGAACGGAAGACATAACTGTATGAACTTGTAAGTCCTAAGCGTAGATTTCAAGAAATCTTGAGTTTTTTATTTTAGTTTTGTTCCGGCAAAAAGAATGTCCAAGAAGGTGAGTCCTTCTGAACACCAAAATACAGTAGGCACTTAGTAACTCTTGGCTCCAATTTTCTTGAGGACTAGGGATGAAAGCACACTGAGCCATTTTAGGCTATCTGTGTTTTTCCATTTCATCCCACTGATTTTTTTTTTTCCTCTCAAGTTGGGGTACCCTATGTGGTATAATTTTCTTAATTTTTTTTTAAAGGAGGTACAAAGAGTTTATTTTATTGAGGCCAAAGTTGCAACATAAAATTCACCATTTTGAAAGTGAACAAATTTAGTGCATTCAGAGTGTTGTGCAACCACCATCTGTCTGGTGCTAAAACATTTTATCACCCCAAAAGGAAACCCTGTACCATTAAGCAGTTACTCTACCTCCCCTCCTCTCCCAAGTCCCTGGCAATCATGTCTGCTTTCTGTCTCTGTGGATTTACCTATTCTGGTTATTCCATATATAAATGGAATCTTATGTGACCTTTTGTATCTAGGTGTGATTGTCTTTAAATTACCTGGATGCCTTTTGGAAACTCTTAAAATCATTTTTGCAGGTGGTGATGCACTATGCATACCTTTAGTACAAGGTCGTGTTATAGTACACATAAGTTTACAGATGGAAATGAAGTACGTTGCGACAATTACTCACCTCTGTTGGGGTCATAGAATCCTTTAGAAATCAGAGGTTCATAGTTTCTTCAGGTTAGTGGATCTCAGGATAAGAACTTCTACTTTGAAATATTTTCTCTTCTTGAAACACAAATTAGACCAATCAATATAACTTTGTCTGTGTGGCTGTTATTTCTTTATGACTACTCTCATTTTGTTGCTCCCTTTTATTTCTTTCCACATATTCTTATTTCTTTTTTTTTTAAGTTTTTTTTTTTTTTTTTTAATTTGACACAGAGAGACATAGCGAGAGAGGGAACACAAGCAGGGGGGAGTGGGAGAGGGAGAAGCAGGCTTCCCGTGGAGCAGGGAGCCTGATGTGGGGCTCGATCCCAGGACGCTGGGATCATGACCTGAGCCGAAGGCAGACACTTAACGACTGAGCCACCCAGGCGCCCCTCTACATATTCTTATTTCTTTTGGGATGACCATCCTTGTACCTCTTTGCATTTTGATGGCGGTGATTTCATTTTATTTTATTTTTCATTTTTTTAAAGATTTTATTTATTTAACAGAGAGAGACACAGCGAGAGAGGTAACACAAGCAGGGGGGGAGTAGGAGGGGGAGAAGCAGGCTTCCCTGCAGAGCAGGGAGCCTGATGTGGGGCTCGATCCCAGGACCCTGGGATCATGACCTGAGCCGAAGGCAGACGCTTAACGACTGAGCCACCCAGTTGCCCCTGTGATTTCATTTTAAAGGTGGAACAAAAACTCATGCCAGCAGGACCAATATTATATTTGATTTTATTTCATCTACCAAACAGTTTTGTCATTAAGTCCCTACTCCCACTCCAGAGTTTCTAGGTTCTTAGGACTAAGTATTAATTGTATTTAGTTCTTAGTAATGTGCATTCTGTTTTCCCTTTCAACAGATATTTTTTACTTCACCATACAATATGGTTCTGAACTGTTGTACCAGTTATGACCGTGTCTTTTTTGGGTAGTCCTATCCTGATTTGTAAACATCACTGAAATATGTGTAAAACATTTTTTTGTTTACCTTGTGTTGGGTTAATTAACAGAAGCCCCCATGTACTGAACATTAACCTTTACTTCCCCTTTTCTGCCTGCCTTATGTTCTCCAGATTTATGGTATATTATGGCTTGTCCATGTTAGGCATTTAAGAAAATCATCTCGGGCGCCTGGGTGGCTCAGCTGGTTGGGCGACTGCCTTCAGCTCAGGTCATGATCCTGGAGTCCCTGGATCGAGTCCCGCATCGGGCTCCCTGCTCGGCAGGAAGTCTCTTTCTCCCTCTGACCCTCCCCCCATCTCATGTGCTTTCTCTCTCTCTCATTCTCTCTCTCAAATAAATAAATAAAATCTTTAAAAAAAAAATCATCTCTGTGGTCCCTTTGGTAACACATTTACTAAAAAAAAATCATCTCTGAAGTATATACATTAAGCGTAAAATATTTATTGAGTATAAAATTTATACTAAGTATAAAATGTGAGACAACCCCTTTGAAATTGGAAAAAGTCACAACCTTTGTAGATTGTTAAAATAGGATTGAGGAGGATTCAGTTGTTAAGAAGGCAAAAGTAAACTGAAGTGCCAGCAGTATTGAGCAAGTTTCTTTTTTACATGACTGTTGGGTGTAAGTTTCACCTAAGTCATTATTATTATCTTATGTGGTGAGCGGACATTGGGGACAGTGATGCCAAGACCTGACATCAATGAAAGTGGAATCTGGGGGTAGGAACCAGGATGGTAAAGGCAGAGGTGTGAATTTAAATGTGCAGTTGTCTCTGGAATGTCTGCAGTTTGGTGCCAGGTGTTTTCTGGGAGGTCATGTTGGTGCTAATCATAGACTGCCTTTTCTGCTGGATAGATCATGTCCCTGGAGAATAGGGCAGTACTACCTAACACACCATTTTAATTCTGCTATTGTATTGAATCAGTTGCCCGTTAGAAGAACGTTTTACTTTGTGACCCAGGCTGATCCCTTGAAAAGATAAACAGGTCACATAAGAATCCCAAATTAAATCCGTGGTGATAACTTTCTGTATTCCTGAACCCTGGACTTGTGTAACCAGTCGTGTACACCACATTTTCCCTTGAATAGCTGATGTTTCCATATTCTTCCCAATTCAGCGAAGCTGAAACTGAACTGGTCTCTCCCTTAAACCTATTCTTTCATAATCCCCTTTCTCCCTTGATGACAAGTTTATCATCCCACCGGCTGTGCCCACAGCCTTGGTCATCCTTGATTCTCCTTTTTCTCATTCCTTTCCGACTTGTCAGAAAATCTTACTGACTCTACCTTCAAAATACATGGAGAATCTGTACTTCTCACTACCGTGGTGCAAACCATGATCCCCTCTGTCCTTTTTTTCTTTTACAAATTGTTCTCCACATAGGAGCTACTCTTCTAAAACTGCTCAGAACTCTTCAGTGATTGTGTTGCTTAGAGTAAAAGCCAGAGTCCCTCAAAGACACTCTAGGCTCCCTCAGCTGTGTCCTGCACCTTCCCCCCGCCCCCATTCCCCCTCCTGTCTGTTGCTCTCAGCCTCACTTACTCACTTCAGCCACTCTGGCCACCTTTCTTCTCTACAAATAAGCCTCAAACCTTTGTACTTGCTGTTTCCTCTGCCTGGAATGCTCATTTTCTGGATTGCAGGAGTAGCTCATTTAGTTGCTTAAGCTCTTTTCTCAGGTGTAGCCTTCTCGTTGAGGCTTCCCGGACTGCTATATCTACAGGTCCAGCCCTGTCCTCGTCCCCTTCCTCCGGTTTTAATTTTCTTTACAACATTTGTCACTTTCCACTTTATTATTGGTCTCTTTTCTTCCTTAGAATTTAAGCTTGGTGAGGGCCAGGAATTCTGTTTCCTTCACAGCTGTATCCTCGTACTTAAAACAGTGTCTGATATATAGCAGGCATTCAGGCATTTGTTAAATCATTCAGCGAATAAGCCCTTGTGGAAACTGAGATCCGGACAAATAGACCTTTATGCTTCTTTTCTGAATTTCTAGATTTTTTACTTTCTTCCTAGCTTTCTGTATTTTTTACTTTACAAACTACCCCTGGGCTTGACCCAGTGGGAGCCAACTTGACTTCTCCCTATTAGGAAAAGAAAGGAAGTTGGTACAACAGTCTTCTTGAAAGAGGTAGGCCTCAGTTTATCACTGGGCAGTCTATGGATAAAAACAGTCTGAAGTCAGATTTCTTTACCTTAAATTTCTCTATCTTCCTGCCTTCACTGATGAATATTTGACAGTTTGATGAATATATGATATAAAGAAAAAAAATCACGTGTTTGCTATA